TGCTTACGGACCATTCAATTCCATATTGCGAGGTTCCGCGTACATTGCTACGATACAACTCAAATATTCACAAACGTATTTTTAATATTAATAGGAGCGTCTAAATTCACTTTCACGGGCATTACTTTCGTACCAACCATAAATATACAAAATTTGGAATTTAATCAGGTCAGAATAACTGTATATAAATCAGCCGTCCGTACCTGCTTACCTTGCAATATCCTTATCGAATACCCAGCTGCGGTGAATTCCCCGACAACTAGATACTCGATAACGTCGACTCGCCATTATACTAATAACAATATGAAATACAATACGTTATTGACGATTGCGTTAAATTCACCGTGCACGGTAACGAAAAATAAAAACGTTACGCAAAATATTATCGAGATCAATAATCTTGTACAGAATCGTAATTATTGTAGGGAGGGGGATCCGGACGACCTTCTGGAATTCTATATTTCTCTTCCACTTCTTGCTCGTTGTCGTCTTCGTATTTGACAGCCGTGAAGTACGATCCAGACGTTTGGAAAGTGTTGCTATAGTCAGGATAGTCTGAAAATATTCGTTAAAATTAAAATAATATTTCGCGATACGAACAAATCTCTCGACTTGAAAAAGGAAACTCGAATGACCGCGTACCATCGAGAGGCTCTTCTTTAATTCGGATCTCTTTCGTATCTTCGTCCTGACGATCGCCTCGATCTTTTCGATCTCTACGTTCGCGATCGCGATCGCGTTTATCTCTCTTGCGGTCCCTGTCGCGATCGCGTTCGTTGCTTCTAGAACGCCTCCTTTTACGATCCCTGTCGCGGTCGCGATCACGATCTCGGTCCCTCCTGTCGCGAGGTCGTTCGTCCCTTTGTATCTCTTCGATGTCCGGATCGGGTATGCGATCACGGCTTCGCCTGCGCTTTCGGTCGCGCGATCTGCTTCTCGATCGTCTTTTGCGATCGCGCGACCTTCTGCGTTCTCTGTCCAAGCGATCGCGGTCTCTGTGGACGTAAAAACAAACCTTCGAATTCCGTACTCGCATTTTAACATTTATTCTTGTTTATACAGCGGTGCAAATTGTTTGTTTACCTGTCTCTGTCGAGGCGTCCGGAGTTCTCCCTCTCCCGTTCCAAACGGTAACGTTCCCGTTCTCTTTCGTTATCCTCCCGACCGGAGTGTTTAATGTTCACGTCAGGACCACCTCTTCTCGTTCCGCCGAGGCCACCGCCGAGCCTTCGCGGGAGCCATCCTTTCACGGTCCTGGCTCGCTCCACGTCGACCAACACTCTGCGACCATCTATTTTCTTACCATCCGCATGCTTATACGCAGCTAAAAGTATCGATTATAAAAATTACCAACTATTCGCGTTTCCATACTCGCTATTAGAGTACGCTATAGGACTTCTACATCCCAGGGAAATAAATCTGAAGTGACAGAAAGGACTGTTCTGAAGAGACTTCAATCATTATTATTTTTTTTTCTTTTTCAAGCGAACGTCGCGATTAGGTTAAACGCCTTTTAAAGAGAGAACCGGCACTGAGATCGAATGAATATTTTGATTTCTTTTTCTTTTTTTTTTTCTACAAGTTCTGTAACTCAACGAAAGATATACAAACACCGAATGGAAGGACATCCCGAGAACTCGATCGCGAGACACAAGCGCGAGAATCGTGTAACGTTCGATGTCCGATACTCGAACTAAATACCTACACACAAATTTTGTTCGTCGATTTATTTCTGTTTCCATCAGGTTTCTTGCGACATTTCGACAAGATTATCCAAGCTGATGACCGTCACGCGGAGATGATTAGGGTCGGTAAGGTATCGGCACATGTTATTCCTGATCACGTCCGTACCAATTGCAACGCACGTTATTTTATAAAGTAAAATGCGACGTAACGAGCACTCTCACCGAATGACATTCGTATTTGCCGCGCAGCTAAACGACGAAACCGTGTTCCCGAGTTAGGCGCGAAGAGCGTGCAACCGGGCTGTAATCCGCTGTCGTACCGTGTTTCTAGAACGAACGTGGCCAATCCCGCCGTAACCGTAGCGGTTCTCATTTCACTGTATAAAATCACAGATTACACGTTACACTCGCGGCCCATGAATCAGCAATAAAATGTACGGAATTTTTCGGTACCTTAAATCTACAAGTTTGTAAAGTTCAAAAAGTATAGCAGATACAAAAATACCTACCGCGGCTACTTACGTACGGAAGTTAACACAAATCTTAGAAGTACTTTTAATCGTGAAATGAACTCGTAAGAGACTCGCGAGCATAGAGTAGGCCAGCGCGTATGCTATTCATTGGGAAGGTGCCCAGTCTTCATATGTTCGTTCAATCTCCGAAGAAGTTTACTTTTCATTTACCTGGTGCGCTTTGTTTCTTTTTACTTACGACAAAACCGTGTGCGCAAGTACCGTATATACTTTACATTTACATTGTGTTCTAGTTTATACATTAAAAATTTAACGTAACGTTCAGACGAATTCTTTTTCCGTTAGTTTGTTTTCTTTTTACTTTTTGTTTCGTTTTTCATCTTACACGGGGAACTTGGTTTGCACGGCAAAAATGTGTTACCCTCTTCCAACGTACACGCTTCCTTTTTCTTTTTTTTCTTTTTTTTTTTTGTCAAATTTTATCTACACACGCTATCCAAGAAACTAACTAGATTTCAGATGAAAACCCGATACTCTTGGAACAAATTAGTATTCTATATCGAAATTGATATGTTCAAGGACTTGAATTGCAATAATCGATTAAAGTAGAATGATTGGATGACCCACCGAGTAAGATGATAACTAGCTAGTTTAAGACTTCGACATAAACGGAGATAGAGGCAAAGTAAAGATGCTCGAGAAAGAATAATCGATTAGTTTGGAGCATGCATTTTGGTACCAGACCTAACGAGAAAATGTTTCGTTTGTTTTTGTGGAGTCCATACGGTGCCCGATATTCACTTGGTACGTGTTCCCGCGGAGAACATATCTAACGAGTAAACTTAACCTACGAATATATGAGAACACTCCCACTGTAAAAAAGTATGGGTGCTACAACCATGATGCGCTTGGTTAGAATTTAATTTTGCGAGAAAATGCGGTTAAATTTTGCTCGATGACGTTCGAGTACTTCCTACGTGTAACTCTATTACGAGGTTATGTGGTCTAACTTTACAAGCACAAAATCTAATTGCTTGCAGAGCGTGTCCCTGAACCTTTTTCCTAAAAGCCCACCAATCAATTTCAATGTAGAATGCTAACTTTTGCGAAACCGCGTTATTGAAAAATAAAAGGAATTTTGGGCCAAAAATTAGCAATCGCAAGGACTCCCGACTTCCAACACTTTATGAGTGCGGTCGTTATTTGTCGACAAACCCCCGACGGGGGTATACTCGAGATCGCAAGTTTAACAAAATCAGACAAGATAAATAGGGTAAGCATAGACGCTAACAAACGTTGTTGTATGTTGGATCTTACCACACATACAAACCTATCATATCAGGCAGGTTCAGGGATTTTGCATGGAATAGTGAACGGCACTAGTTGCCGGCAGCGGCCGCCACGCTGTACCAAGAACAAGATAAAAACTGCATTAATCAAGACAGCCAATATTTCTTTTTTCAGTTGATTCGTTTACCATATATGCATTTACAGAATGGTAATCCTGCATGGATGTATGGCGGGACCCCCCGTACCGTCTGGTTTAGTACCAATGAAAATGGGTAGCCTAACTATAGCCCTGCCCCACTATATCTAGCTGGAAGTGACGCTAAGTAAGGTGAATTTCCAGACTATGGACTCGCCGAGGTTCTCAAGAAGGGATTACGTTTCCCGGGTTTTACTTACAGTGCATATCTCTTTCGTGCTCATACTCAATGAAAGCGTATCCTCTAGGCTTGCCATTTATCGTATTGTGAATTACCACTATCTGAAAAATTAAAGGATCTCGTTAACAAGTTCAGAGAGAGTCATATCGTATTCTATCATCTTACCTTTTTTACGGGACCATATACTTCAAATTCCCTTCTAAGTTTGGATTCAGATGTATCATAGTTCTAAAAGAAATACGTGCATATTGATTATCCGATTACAAAGAGAAAGAGAAAAAAAAGGAAAAAAAATAAGTCTGTGTTCTAAACGATACTCACTATTCGGGCTACAAAAAGCGTTTTGAAAGGGTCAGCGGTCACATTTGGAATACCAGCAGGATCCCATACTGCGATTTCCTGTTCTAGTTTGTATGCTACTTGCTCTGCGCGTTCCCTTCTTCTACGCTCGAGACGTTCTTCCCTGGTTTCCACGCGTACCGGTGGTGGTGTATCTTTAGGATCCTGAACCAAATATACGTTAATCGATCTTTCAATTACGCAAAACGTACAACGAAATCGTCGAATGTTTTCTACCGAACTCTGATCTACCCTGCTCGAAAATCAAATTTCGGCAGTACGTCGGACGAATTACGTATACACTTTCGTTACCTCAAAATATTTAAGAAACGATCCAACGCCGATATAGCCTCCATTCTTCTTTTCGTGCGGGAGCTTGTTAACGGGTGGTAAATACGGTATAGGATCCCGCGGCGCAAACAGAGCCAACAAGTTCGGCGGCAGAAACTGCGTCATTTTCTCAGGTACAGGGAGGACGTGACACTTGTATTCTCAGTTCACAAAAATCATCGAGGCACACGGCATCTTCGCGTATCAAACACCATTACAAAATGGCGACAACGTTGCCAACATTCTATGGCTCGGGAGAGCCTCCATCGAGTCAGTAATATATCCTCGTACCGATAGATGGCTCTTTCGGAAATGAAAATGTGGCGTCATCTGTCGAACGAGCTTCGTCTCGTAACTTTTTCTTTGTATAAATGTAAATATCATGAAGCTGTATGAGAAGTCCTAACTGTGTAGTGTAGAAGTGGTATCAAAATTCTAGTAACTTTCTTAGGGAGTTGGATCTCCTTATACATTCTTCATGGTAAATATTAAACAACGTACATCTGCATATATTTTCTGAATCGTAAACGTATGCTTCGTAAACGCGCTATTCTTGTTTCAGACATTCCACAACACACAACGTAAGAAAAAAGGGTCACCGACCAGCGTCGTCGCGAACCAATGAAACTACTTCAAAGTCACGTGATTCTGTTTATCCGATTCCACGTTCCAGATGAACGCTATTCAGTAACGTTGGACGATAGAGTTTATGTTTACTTACGACTGATACCAGTGGAGAAAAGTGAGGTTATATTCGAAAGGTAAGTTAACTGCGTTTATCGAATTGCACTGCGTGGGACTCTTTACAGGGCAACATTAATTCGTTACATTTCTAGGAGAAATTTACTAGCTACGGCATCAATCGAGACCCTACTCATTCGTGTATATAGGCGTCTATGGTTGGTGACGAAGCTGGTGACTTTCTCTTAGAAGAGCAAAAATTAACGTTGCTCGGTGTATTCGACTTAGTTTCATGGTCAAACTTTTAACTGCTCGTAACTTCTGAAACAGTGGATTCACAATAGTGGACCGCCTTAAAACTAGCATTTTCGGATTTTTTTTTCGACAAAATCTACAATATTATATAAAAAAACACCTAAACATTTTAGGTCCGCCAAAGTGCAACCATTAGTTTTCTTTACGACGTAACGATAGATTTCGAGTCGAATACCAAATTGTTTAAACACAGAATGACAAAATCAACTCATAAACGGAACACAGGCTTACTGTCTATCGATATTTTATTATCCCGAATGTTTTAAATTGTCATCTTTGAGTACTTATTTGTTGAGAAATTACGTTAGGTGGCACTAGTTGGTTGTCACATATTCCATCTGTGGTAAAAAGCTGAAAATTATAAAATTCATGTTGTTATTGCCTAGCATTCTAATCACGTCGATATATATTTTTACTGTACTATAAAATTATTTAATTCGAAGAAAACTTCAGAATCAAATTATTTCTGTTCTATAACTTTGTAAATTTGTAAATGTTTAGAATCCACAAGATGGCACTAGTCATCCATGAAATGTTCTTTTATGCAGCGCCAAACGGTAATACGGAGAACTATCATCGTTCCATTGGTGTTTTCGCGGGCCAGCTACCATATTGCTAATTTCTCCTTGGAATGTTCGTTTCCATCGAATTAAACCAAGTATACGCACATCCTTCCCAAGACACAACAATCTACGGAAGGTTCTAAGAATTGTAAGTACTGTTACAATATTTAATCTGTCCGGTGCGTTCCGTACAACGTAGCATAGTGTGAATAAGCAAATTTTATCGCATGGCTGCCATGACGTCATATCCGTTTATTTAGGATTAGCACGCATACACATCGCCTACGAACTCGAATTATTCTTCAACGACGTACCTTTTATTTTTTATCTTTTAATCGAGACACTGACATTCGTATTTCCACAAATTAAATTTCTAAAAGCGATCGTAGTAAATATATATATATATATTTCCAATGACACGAGGTTTCTCGAAATGGAAACGTTAGAATTTTGCAATCGTCGCGATTAAAACTGTAAAGACATTCTATGCATGTTTGATTCGAAATCGAGCGTATTTTACCGTCGCACGAGAACGCTAAACGAGGAAGAAACATCGTAATAGACGTTAATTTTACAGCAAACAGAATTTTGCGATAAGATACGCGCGTTACATCATCCTAATTGCACCGTAGCTACGATCTATGCTCCTCTATAACGTACGAGGTCTCGGTGTACTTTGCACTATATGTGCAACAATTAGCAAGTTTTATCGCTCCGAGGGTTTTTTTATCCGTTGTGTCTTCACAATAATCAGTGGCGACATCGGAACGCTGACATACTGCAACGTAACGGATTTCACGCGAGACAAATAAACATTTTTAACTTCCTTCGAGAACACCCACCGCTCGCTGATTCTCTATTACGTTATCGTATCGCGTACGCGGCGGCGGCACGTATTAACAATAAATACTACCCAAACGGTGCAGCAATACCGTCGCTCGATTAGAATTCTCTTTTCGGCTCCTTCGATATTTGAAGGAAAACGTTCGATCCAAAGATATCGAAGGAACGAATAGAGTCGTTCGAGCGAGGAAAAGTTCGCGTATCCGAACGCGCGGGCTTACGTCAGCGTAATTAAAATGCAAGCAGAAATCACACACGAGCGCGTATTTCTGTAATACACCGCCTCGCCGAGGACGCTAAAATAATACAAGATGGATTTGACTTTCGTCCAATATTCAGCGGACCCGTATGCGTACTCACGTTCACGCGCTCACGCGTTCCGAATAAAGAACGCGTGTATAGGATGCTCGATGCGCGAGCTGCATCCATGTTCACACGTATGCATAAGTCAAGTGCGCGCGCGAACGCTCTGCACTGCGTAAAACTGCGTGTCGTGGGTAGATTCCTCCATTCGAACGTTAAATTTTATTTACGTACGAGAAGTCAAGAGTAACCGTTCGACTTTTCCGTACACTCGAAAAACTATGCCACGTGTGATAAGGCACACACCGAACACGCATTTTTTTCCAGATTACGACGCAACATCGATGGATAGATAAAAAGAAAGCGAGATCTACGCACTCCCAAACGGACTTTTTTTCCAATCGCTTTTCTCGTGACTCGTCGCTGGTATTTCGCTGGTACCTTCTTTGATCGACCTGATCGTTGTCGTGTTCAGGCTAGTTTTCGTTGGAAAAAAAGCTCGCCGATTCGTCGATCATGCGAAGTGCAAACCGATTTTGTAGATCGGTAAGAAGTATTCGTACGACAAGCAATTTAAAATGGAATTAATAAGAAAATAAATAAGAGGTTAACAGTAAAAGTAATAATCTAAAAAATCTACTCTAAAGATAAGTAGGAATGTTGGTTGATCATTTATTTCCCTAAAATTTATTAATAAAATAAATATACGAGGTTTTAGTTTGAATTGCTTCCTGTACGAATACTTGTTACTAGACTGCGGATTTTTATGCAAAATAAAATCTTTATAAACGTACCTGGAAAAATTGAACGTAATTAGGAATTTCTTTTACTCTGCAAATATTATAATATGAATTCTACTTTCGATACTTTTTATATTCTTGCATAGTCTGTACATTTTGCAGTTTTCTCACACATTCAAATTTCCCATTAATGCATAAAAGTCCGCAGTCTACTTATTACATTGACTGTACGTTCGATTTTGATACGAATATATTCTTAAAATTGCGAACAATTGTTTTCCGATGTTATTCGTCGCAAATGTAATTCCTGTTTGGATGGTAGCGGGTATTTACATCGCAGCTTGTACATTTTCCCATTAGATCTTACCTGTCCACGGGTGGTGCCCCTCGCGCGGCCCCATCCCCTTCCACGCGCCCAGACCGAGAGAGAGGCACGTCAGTGTAACGCAGAGCGTAGAGCAGAACGGACCGAAGCGTCTGCGTCGTCGTGGAACGCGCATCCTAACGGTACGGGAGTGGGGGAAGCTCTTGGACACGTACAGTGGCCTGCGGACAAGCGCACGTTAACGCGAGGAACGTCATTGGTGTAGCGGTAAGTTGTATTTTCAGTGTCTCGGTTTATTCGTTTTATTACAACAACAGCTCATGATAAATAAGAAGCAAAATAATCTTTCGTACGAAACATTGAAAAGTGAGTAGGGACAAGTATGAGACACATTCGGTAACTAGAAAAATGACTTTTCGAATCGATCCAAACGCCAAATCCAGAAGCAATATTTTCACCGGAGTCGTGCGTCCAAGATTCGCTGTATAGATCGATAACGTCGCGCTTTATCTACAAGTACGAGACACAGTCGGTAACTAGAAAAATGACTTTTCGAATCGATCCAAACACAAAATCCAGAAGCAATATTTTCACCGGAGTCGTGCGTCCAAGATTCGCTGTATAGATCGATAACGTCGCACCTTATCTACAAGTACGAAACACAGTCGGTAACTAGAAAAATGACTTTTCGAATCGATCCAAACGCCAAATCCAGAAGCGATATTTTCACCGGAATCGTGCGTCCAAGATTCGCTGTATAGATCGATAACGTCGCGCCTTATCTCCCAATCGTAGCCAACGTTCGGGCCACGTTCTAACGTCGTATGACGCGCAATTACCGTGCAATCACGATTACGATCGCCGGCAACCAATAGCGGTTTTTGTTTACTCACAAGTGTAGAACGCATAATCGCGAAGCAATTACGCGTCCAGTATGCCGTACGTTCGCGTAAACGCTGATTACCCGACTCGCCCGATACGAGCTGTGTAATTGCGCTCGCTTTCTTTTCTCTCTCTCTCTCTCTCTCTCTCTCTCTCTCTCTCTCTCTCTCTCTCTCTCTCTCTCTTACCTACAGTTTCAACGTCGTTACACGCGTTACTGTCGTCGTGTCGACGACGTACAGCGATTGCCAAACGATTGCGCACGGTGTGTTTATTAAAATATTAATAGGTATTATTAAAGTATCGAAATATTCGAATACGGAGAAATCGAGGCTTGTTTGAGAGACGCGAACCGTTGGCAGCTGCACCGAATCTACGCGTTCCGATATTCACGGTGTGTATCGGTACGCATCGCGGTGTCCTTATCGAACGCAAGCAACGGCATAACGGAGTCAAGGAGAAGTAGAGGGGAAAAGAGAGAGCGATTATGCGAAGGGTCGCGTTGGCAAAAGACGGCTGTGAATATCGGAGCATGCACGCACCCTCGGCCGAGGAGAAGATTCGATTCCGACGGGCGTCGGCACGTCTCCGCTGAGTCGTATGCCGAGCATACTCGCGAGAATGTGCTCGTTTCCCCGGCTGCCATCTTGGTTTTGCGTGATGTCACAGCGTGGCCTACTTCCGAGCGCTCCACGTGCAAGGGTCGTCGGACCCTGTTCTCCTCTAGCCCCCTTTTGCCTAGCCAGAGCGCTGTTGCTGTCTCTAAAGACCTACCAAATGCTCTAGCGAACCCTCCTCCCTCGCGGAGCCAACCAGCGCCCAGGATTCCTCCGCACCCGACACTCTATTCGCTTCCACCGCCGCCCTGTCGATTCCTCTTCCTCTTCCTCTTCCTTTACCTACGCTCCCCTTCTTCCAATTCTTTCGTCCTCCGCTTCTGCACGCTCCAAGCTTTTCGTCCAAGTCTTTCTCGACTTCTCTCTCGTCGCTTTTTCCATCGATTCATTTAATTCGACGATCAACTTTATATACAGTCAGTGTAACAAGTATTAGGTTGTCCCGAAAGTTTCTTTCGCTTTATTAATAAGTAATACATGCACAGTATTTGAGCCGTTTATTTTGAATGCGGCCCAACTTCATTTATCTTCGAATCGAGATATTTAAGGGTTTGCGTTTCAATGAATTTAAAAATAATATAGTACGACGTTAGTATAGGATACTAATGTGTCGTACTGCTCGAGCGTATCTAAGGGTGTTAAATTTATAGTTTCTATTAAAATAGGGCCAATTGTTGAGTGAATAATATGCGTTTTCGTATCAAGAATGGAGTTGGGCCACTTTCAAAATTAACAACCAGATTCGTTATAAAATTTGAAGGTGCCCAAGTCCATTCAGCATCATTTAAGATGCTGCAAATTGAAAAAAAAAAAGTAAATTGTTATTATATCATTAAGAACTACTGGAAATTATCTCTTTCCAGTACTGTAGTTCTTCCAACGTATATTTTTACTCTGTTCGCTCTCGCACAATTTGCTAACCATCCTAGCTATCATTCCATCTAGTGAGAGTGAATTGAAGTAGACGCGTGTAGTATGTGAAGCGCGGCAGGTTCGAATGAAGAAAGCCTACTTTCTTTACATACATACAATACGTAACAGCATTCGTAAATAAATAATTCACCGTTGTAAAATTCAAGTGTAGGATTCGAATGCGAATTCAGGCCCTGCGTAAGGTCGCGCCGGCCCTGATCGCACACGAGATAATGATGCACGCGTGGGTACGCCGGTTTTCCAATTCGACGGCCACCCACTTTTCCCGAGTCGAGCGGAAGAATCCCAAAAAGGGTCGACGCTCGATTTATAGCGCTACTTTCAATCTTACTCGGCGTGTGTCTTTTCGTTGCGTCTCCCGACCACCGTTGCGCGTTCCTTAATCGTCGACGACAGTCTCTCCGTGCTCGAGGTCGACAATCATCTCGGATTCGACGCTCGGCACATTTTTTTTTCCGGCTCGTACGTAACGGCCGCTCGTCCGTTGTTGCGAAAGAATGGAATCGCGAATACGCCTTTCCCGCGCCGCGTAATTACCCGGACGCGTTAAAAACGTCGAAGATCTAATCGAGTCAGCCTCGTCGCTGGCTTCCATCGGAAGTATATTAGCGCGCGACGAATGAAACAAAAATGTTTCTCCGCGAGCCAGAGATGGGTGGTGGAAACGTAATTGCGGTTGGGCGTCCAGTCCGTCCGCATCGATCGCTGGCTGCAGTTCGTAAACTAACCGGCGCGCCGGGTTCCAGGTCACTGGGTCAACCCTTCCATCGATCCAACCCCTCTATTGAAAATTCGCCCGCCTCGAGACTGTCCTCGTCCTCGCCGCTGAAACCTACCCACCTCGCCGTTGCATTCGGCCCTTTCGATCATGCTCCCTTCTCTCCTCTTTCGCATCTAGCCGCGATACTAATTATTTACGAGTCCTCCGCCGCGGGAAACTCACCCCCGGAGACTACGGATATTTCCGTACGCGGGCCTTCGCTCGAATTTGCCCGTCTATTTGCGCTCGTCTCCCACGAATAGTCATCGAAGCCCGCCGAACACTCCGCCCCGAGTACGACTCTTCTGCTTCTTTTAACTCTCCGATGTCGTCCTATGCAGCGCTTCGTTTCTCGACTTATCTCGTATCCGTTTCGAACTAAAATACGACGTGTCTACGTTTCAGCTTACCTTTACAAATCTTCCGTTCGCGTTATTTGTCTCCGTTGGAAGCAAGAAATAGAATAACATAGGTTTAATTCAATGAATTTTATTCCGACACTTCGAGGGCTCAGAAAGTATCTCGAGGTTGTCTCTCGACTGACACCCAAACCGTCCAACTCGACGCCGGTGTTTCTATTAGCAAGCTTATCGTCCTTGCGCCTCTGAGAACCGAGAACCTCGAGGACTTCGAACGGAAACGTGATTTATGTTTGTTGGAAAACTTGACGATTCCCTGCGTTTCGCATCGAATTGCAACATGGTGTTTTGCAACGTTGTCCGAAACGTCGGGTTACGCCATTCCGAGAGCCGGCGTAAATAACTGACGACATCGATTGTAAAAGAAATACCTCGAAATGTCAAGTTCGAGGCTCTGTCGAACGAGAAAATCGTTGGTGGAATCGTTGGTCTCGTTTGTCGTAACCCGCGACCTTATTTCTTGACTAGAAACCGTTCAATTTCAAAGACGCCTTGCTCGCGTTGCATAATTCGGAATAAAAAAAAATGATCCCGACAGTTTTCCGTTCGTGGAAACTTTGAAACGCTCTGTAGGCGGAATTGGAATACAGGGGGCACGTTACGAGGGAGCCCGCGGAAGCACACTGTGCGAACAGAATTTCGCTCGGAAGCATGCGCGCTCGGCTGGGGTGAATCCGGGGCTCGATTCCCTTTTCCCCATTGAAATGTTGCTCCCTTTGCCTCCTCGTCTCTGTATCGAGCCTCCACCCTGTGCTGGTTGCCTTCCAAGAGGCAGGTGGCATCGGCATCGGGGGATCCGCTGAAACCATTCGAAAGAGCACCGACGCCGATGGGGAAGCGAGTAAAAGTAAATTGTTATTCTCGTAAACAAAACGATCATCGTGTCCCTTGGCGATGGAAAGCATTCGGAAGCATTCGAAAAAACGAGCGACTCTAACGACCCGATACGTACCGATATATACCGATATATACCGATCGATGACGAAGCAAATAACTTCCGTCGAGGGAGTTTGGCGAATAAAATTAAACCGGAATCGGAATGACGTTGCGTTCTGATATAATTTATACGACCGATTATTTTTATACTCTTTAGACGAGGATTCCGTCTCGAGCGAAACGGTTCTTTGACGACAGAAAATTAATGCTAATTCGCCGAATAATTTCTCCTTGACAACGGTGTCAGAAATTAAAGATACGACGCGAAAGTGTCTTCCATTTACGTTACGTGTTCCTCCACGTATCGCGGAAAAAAAAGAGACGAAATGTCCCGTGACAAGCTCGACAATAGGGGCTGCAAGGTAGTGGGGGATAAGAGCGGCCGGGACGAAGGGCGGGCGAGCGGAGGATCATGGATAAGAGCGCGCGAGGGGTGGGGGTAGGAAGAAGGGGAGAGGAGAAACCAGGGCGCAAGTATTGATCCCGCGCCGGGTGGTTGACACATTTACCAAAAGCTTCGCGTGGTCTAGTTTCGGTCTGAGGTCGCACGAGGAGCGTCGAAGAAAATACGTAATCAACCCGTCTTTTTCGCGTTGTTGAATTTTCCACGAGCCCTAACGACCTACATTCCGGTTAATTAAAGCTTCGATCGGGATTGATTTCTCTTGCGGCGGCCGGCAACGAAACGTCGCTCCCCGTGCGCCACATTCGTCCAATTGT